GTCCAGCCTCAGCAGCGATGGGCCGCTGTGAGAGGCCTCGTTCATGCAGCTCAACAATCCCACCACGTTCAGAGACGCTGAGCTGTTTGCCATCACGAGATCTTCACAGAGTGATCACTTGACAGGAAATGACACGGAATCCAAATGTTTGCACAGATTTTGGCTTTTATAGGCTGTGGCCTTAAACTGTTGATCAGCTGATGAGCAGCCTGTTGGAGTTAAATTGTTGTTTCAATAAACTGCCGGCTCACAGCTTCTGGTCTCTTGTTCCCGTTTCTTCTTTTTGCATTTTGAAGCTCTACTTAGAACCTTCCTAAGATCCAACAGTGCAGAATGCAAATTCATGCAGTTTTTGAACTGGTCTTAAGCTTTTCATCAGGAGTGTATGTTGAGCTTACATATTTTTTAGTCTGTATTTTTCAACTGTGTGTACACGTGTAGCAGAACTGACAATAAAGTGACTTTGACCTGAAATACATTTGAAGCTCTGCGTTAATGAATCGCCGGTTGCTTTGCAGCGTCGTCTACCTGTTCTCCTGGGAGCCGCACAAAGATGTGACCTACTCCGTCCACAGGGATTCCCAGTACTCGTTCCTGCCACACTGGTTCATCGACGAGATGAGCACAAGGCCAGACTCCCATCACCAGTCCTGATTTACAACCACAGCTTCCCCAACAGAGTCCATCAATCCACTGCACACATCCGAAATACTGATGAGTGTCGACGAGTCACTTGAGGACGTTTGTCCGGCAGCGCTGAAGCATGTTTTGTTTTTTTCTGGCATGTGCGGACTTGAAATAAAACAACCACTGCAGTACGGTCAAACTTTAATGCTCCCCAGTTACCACAATAATTTAAATCCCCAAAAACAGTGTTAATGTAATTTAGACAAAATTAGAAAAGAATATGTTAAAAAAAACAAAACGTGATGTAAATAAAGGAAGATGACAAAGTATTTTCATGTAAACATCAAGTATGTTACCAGTAATACAGTAATGAACACCCATCGTGTACGTATTGTCCTGATCGGCTCGCGCTGCTGCTTCACTTACTGCCACACATTCACCACTGCTCACTACTGAGCCAGTTTAACGGCACCACAAGGAGCGAATCCACCCTCAAATGAGGCGAGAGGCGGCATCGACATCCATTTACCAAATCACAGAGCGCACACATGGAAGTGAATCCCTGACTACGCTGCTCACAGTGACATGAATAATGGAACTCAGTATAAATCAACAGTCGTCACGTAGTTTATGTCATTTCATAGTGCAGTGTTTCATGATCGGATCTTAGAGGCACTTCGTACCTACAGCAGCATCTGTACACATGGAACAAACTCTGGATGTACGGTTAAGCACTAATTCTCAGTTTTAGATCAGTTTTAGTTGGAAAAGCAGGTCCAGATTTTGTCAGACCGCTGCTCTTTTCCCGTCTTCACCATCACTGATGTTACTGCTCATTTGTGTGTAATAACAACATCGTAAGTCAGCACATGAAAAAGAAAAGTCTCTATCTGCAGGGTAATTTCATAAAGTTTCTATCTTGCAGGAAATCAAACTGAAAGTTACTAAAAGATGTGAAGAATGGTCCAGTGGCTGAGATTAAGGCAACGCTTCAGTACTGCTCTCATCAACTGCAGCAAGGTCCTGACGATGAATTAAAAGTTTGACGTTTTGTGAAAGACACTGAGTTTTCCCAGCGTTTGGAAGGAGACAATGAGGTGGGTATCATCAGCCCACGTTCAGTAAAGACAAGGAGTTTTCATTTTAAAGAAATCTGTGCATTTTCATCTCATTTTAAAAACATCTTTGGAGAGGAGAAAACTCTGTGATGCAGGAACTAGAAGATCAACACCAGCCTCAGTTGTAGCGCTTCAGTACTAAACCACTGCTGAACTAGCACAAAGGCTGGGAACGGGAGACAAGAAGCAGCCTGGCCCTCTCCAGCAAACCAGCATCTTTCAATCCTGAGCTGCCCAGAAGCTCCAATAAAGAACGAATTAAACAAGCTGCGTGTTATTTAGCCAGCTTCAGTGGCCGAGCTGCGTTTCCTGTCTTTATGCTAAGCTAAGTTGGCTGGTTCATGTACATCCATGACAACCGTGTAAACCCTCGAAAGGAGCAGTTAACTGTGGACGAGTGAGCGGATAAGCACATTTACCAAAATGTCAAACTTTTGCTTCGAGAATCACTGATCTTTTGCCCAGATTGTTTTAAAATCCGTTTCTAAATTTAATAGTGAGCCGTGACGTCACTTGTAGGCAGGTTGACGTAGTTTTTCCAGCAAGTGAAAATTAAAAAGCACATTCAATTTGCCTTTTAGAAGGTCATGTCAGGTTTGGTGCCACTTCACCTCCAAACTTTTCAAATTAGAGGAGCTTCTGAATTCAGCAGACAGGAAAAAAAACACTTGCTGAATTCAGGTGGTCCACAGTGCACACATGGAAGCAGGTAAAGGTTAAGAACGAGGAGGTATCAAAAGAATCAAACCCACCTCTCATTGTGGTGAATCTTTGGCCCTAAAGGCACCAATCTCAACTTGTATTACAGTATGTATGCGATCGAAGCAAATCCTACCATTTAAACATCATCAGCATGCACCGATGAAACCTACAGACGATAAGTGCACTGATGCCGTTTCCAGCAGGTGTCCTCAGCGCTTCAGTTTCCTGTTGAGGCCCATGACTTTGAAGGTGGCCGCAGTGATCTTCTCGTACACGACAAACATGAGGGCAGCCGTCAGCACCGTCTGCAGCAGCTTGGCCTCCAGGCCTTTGTACAAACCAAGAACACCATGTCTCCTGCAACGAACAGAAGATTAAATGTTGGAGATCATCGTGACGTCTTCAGGGTGGAAATGTTAGTGGCTGCACTCACTTGATTCTGTCCATAAGCAGGAACAAAACGTTGGACAAACTTCCGATGACGCCTCCCTTGCCGTCACCTTTGTACTGACCGAACTGAGGACCAAAGCAACAGAACGTTGTGTTGTTTGTCTTGAGATTCAATGTTATCGACGCTCAGTCTGAATCAAGCTAAAGGGCCCACGTGATCATGAGACCTTGAAGATGTTCTGCTCCTTCTCACTAGATGATCGCTTTTAAATAGATGGATTTTCATGCACACTTTTCTATATTTTTGCACAAAACCTGAGAATCAACCACATAAAACATCAAACGACTGCTCTACAGAGGACCCAGTCTCACAGTTTTTCTTTGTTTTGTCAGGTACATAATTTCAGTTTCATGCATTGAGCTTTGTCTAAAATGGAAACTCCCTGATCCCAACTCATTATTTTTGGTCTTGTATAAACACATAGAACTTTATCAGTGTTCCTTTAACCGTAGCTAGCGCCTGAGATGTCTTGGTGTGCAGCAGCACCTACCCTCAGGATGGCCTGAACTGTCTGGAGAGGATACGTCGCGGTAGTAGCGATGGCTTTGGCAACGGCTCCGATGAAGAAGATCTCTGCAGAGGATATCTGTGGTAGGAGATGAACATCAAACACACTCAGTGTTTTCACTCACTGTTGGGAGTAAAACATGACTTTTAAAAAATTACCTAAAAGATTCACTGATCAGGTGACTGACAACGAGCTATCCGATTTTAATTTCCTGCTCTGCAGTTTTCCACATTTCTTTTACTTCTTCCTACAAGCGTGAAATAAAACTGATGAGGTTTTTTTTTTCTCACCTTCCTCCCTCCCTTGCCTGCCTTCCTCTTCATGGCTTCATAAATCATGAACTGTACCGCCGGGTTGAGGACGAGGATGAGAGACGGCAGAGTGCCATTCCACAGACTTCTCACTCCTTCGTTGGCAATGATCTGCGAGAAAGCATCTGAGAGGGAAAAGTCCACGGTTTGACAACTGCACGGCAACAAGGACGTCTGTCGAGAATGTTCAGCCACAATACAGGAGCTCACCAAATATGCCTCTGTACTGGGTCTGGTGGAGGTCCTCGTTTCTGAACTTCACGCCCTGCAGCTTGAGGCGGGTGTTGACCACCCACATGGGAGTGGTGGTGAGCACGTTTACGACTCCTGCACCAACAACAGAGTTTCAGCGTTCTTAAATGAATTCCTGGAGGCACCATGAGGAGGTTTGGAGCCGTAGAACAGCTACAGAGCAGTTGGTCACTGAGTGAGTCGCTGCTTTGTGACAAAGCACACGTCTCTGAGAACGGTTTCACATAACTGCTCCTATTTAGGTGCAGACAAAGACAAACACCGATACGACGTAAACATGACGTCAATATTTTGCAGGATTAACTGAGAGTTTTTGATCCGGTTCCACCATGTCTGATGCAAACTGAATGCTGCTGAGATCATCATTGATTTGTTGACCAGAACAGAGCTGCAAAACAGACACAAACTGACTAGACCATGAGAAACAGCTTTCAGTTATCTTAAGTTTTACCGACCAAGCAAATTATTGATTACCTGAAAAAAAAAAAACACAATACATCAGCCCCGACGTAAACAACACGGGTCTAAAATGGGGTTGTTTGGGGTTTTTTTGTTGTTTTTTTTAAAACCTGCCTTGCATTTGTGTTCATGCATTCAGAAAGTTTCTTCCTTCAGGTCCTTCAGTCAACAGGTCCTCTGCATGCTTTTACCTGATATGATTCCGATGAGCAGGTCTTTGCCAGGTCTGGACGTGCCTGGACCGGCGTCCGTCAGCCTCTTCAACGTGTTGAAGGTGTAAAAGTAGACGAAGTTGGAGCAGCAGAGGCTGGAGATAACTGGGAACCAGCCTCTGTACAGAGACTGACTGGGAGAAGTGGTGGAGAGTTGTTTGAAAAGTGAGTTTTCAGTTATGTGGCCACATCATCAGGCTTACTCCTACACCCAAGTAAGTCGATAATAGTTTGGATGATAATTAAAATCTCATTTAATCCATCGGTCTGTAAAACAGCAAACTTTGCTGACTGGGATTAGCGTTTGAGAACAACATGAGCCACAAATCTGTGAAATGATGTCCCAACACTGTACTTACAGGCCTTCTTCTTTAGCTATCTCAGCCAGGATGATGGGGGTGGAGTGAGATTTCCGTTTCTCATCCACTAAAAAACAAAACAAAAACACACGACGGTCAGTTTAGGGGGCACAAAGAGCTCATCTCAGCTGACACTTTCTAACAGATGGGCAGTTTAAGACACAAGGCAGGAAAGGAACGCCTTTATTTTCACTGCACAGTGTAGAACAAAACGAAGCAGCAACCCTGTCAGCGCCGCCACACGACCGACAACATTTGTAAAGTGCAGGAAGAAATGTGCACATTAAAACACAGAAAAAATAGTGTGTGCCAGTGCACCAGTGAAAAGCTTATCTGGTGTATTACAAACTCTCAAAAGCATCATTTATGTTGCTGCACATACACAAAAAGGTAAGTAGCACAAAAATCACACACGAGGTTCACTGTTAGAAAAGTAGTAATAACAATGGCAGCAAGAACGCAGGCTGCTGTCAAGACCAGACAAAATCAGTTTGTTCTGGGTATTATGCATGAAAAAGGAATATTTAGTGGTTTCAGTTTGTTATTTGCAGAGTAAACAACAATAACGTTGCTAGATTTAAACAAGTGTTTGAAAGATTTCCAAAATATTAATATTTTCATGTTCTTACGACAGGCGGTCTAATGAATCTGTTAAGCACTGAACACCTTGGTTTGTTTCTACAGTTTCATTCAGCTTTTATCCAGAGCGACGTCCATCTGAGAGCAGATACGACACCAGCAAGGATCTGGTCAGGAGAGAACGACCTGGATCAGAGCCGTAGAACAGGGTCAGGTGGGATGCCAACAGCAGGAATTATTGTTGTTTCCAGCCTGTCGGGCGCAGAGCTGCTCTTTAGTCTGTTCTTACAGACTGAGAGGGCGTCAGCAGGTTGAACAGTTTGGTAACTGGTTCCACCACCAGAACCACAGAGGAGGAGAGTCCAGCTACCGACCTGGACCTGTTGTGATGGTTGGACCAGGAGGCTCTGGTTGGTCCAGTTAGTGAGCAGGGGGAGTGTAGACCTGAATATTTCTATTTTTGTAGTAAATGTTTGGTGCTGAAACCTTGCAAACGTCCCCTCTGTGGGCTTACTGAAAGCTCGTCTCATCTTAATACAAGGTGCAAGTCTGAAAGATATCTCCAGATGCTGTAGATGAAATCAAGCTGCTAGCAGGGACTCAGACAGTTTGGCAAAGCTCAGCTGTCTTACAGCTCCGGGGTAGAAGCAGAGTTATTCATCAACTTTACAGAACAGAACAGAACTTAATGATTTAAAGCCATGCTCTCTGCTTCATCTACTTCTGTACCTCTGTGGGTGAACAAATAGCTGCTCTACAATGAAGGGAACCTCAGCGAGGCTTCACACAGCTGGTGCTCAGCCCCGCTGCTGCTATCAGGTAACCTCTGTCCAGGACGACAGCCTCCAGCTCACCCTGCAGCCTGCTCTTGGCGGTGTCCAGAGGAAAGAAGACGGTCATGGCTGTCACGCTCCCCTGCAACACGATGAACACAGCGTTTTAAACAAAGGCCCAGTCACTCCCTGGCTCAACACGACCGCGGTATAAAGTCAGAGCGAGTTATCTGCGCCTGTTTCTGCTCACCATTGCACCTGCCACAGCGTGAACCAGCGTCTCGTAGGACAGAAGGCCGACAGCCGAGCCGCCGTTGTCGGACATCTCTGCGGGCTCCACCGGTCGGGCAGCGCGGAAGAAACGCCGGGAGGATAGCTGGCGGTCGGTCCGGTTCTTCGGGCGGTTTGCGGGGGAAGACAAGATTTCACAACAGCGACTCCAAGGCGGCGTTTAGAGGAAGAAAGCCGAGAAGAGTGAGAAAACCTTTCCTCCCCGCCGCCATTGATTGGTTGATCCCAGCTGACTGCTTCTTCTTCGTCGGCTACTTTTCGACGCTTCCGGTTCTTCTTCTTCTTCTTCTGTTTTCTGTTGGTGGGTTTGTTTTGTGTTACGGCCACCGACTGGACTGGCACTGTTTATGTTTGGTTTTTGCAAAGTATAAAAAACAAACAAATAAAAAAACATAAAAATCAGCTTTAACGAGATGGAGTTTTTGTTTTGTAAATCATCGTGTCTGCTGACTTTTTGGGGAAAAAAACTTTAGTAAAAAAAACAGCCTAGATATGTACAAAAGTGACACCAATGAATACACAAAACATAGCTTCTATTTAATTCTTTTCTCGTAATTCAGATTTTCAAACTTTTTAACTTTTTGTTACCTCAAAATATAATTTGAAGGGCTGATGTATGCTAACTCCATTTTGCGGCCTCTGTTTCTTCTGTTTTGTGTTACACCCACCTACTGGACTGAAGGGTGAAGCAGTGTTTGGAAAAGTCAGAAAATAATTAAAGCCGCAAGCAGCATTTGACGGGTCCTCGCCCGACGCTTGTCGGCCTTCGCGCACGGCGGGGTGTGGCGCAAACGTGCTCCGGGTGGCACTCTGATCCGGCGTGTCGAGTTTGGGGCAGATCGGAGCACGTGCGGCCTAGTTAGAGCCACTTCCTGTTTTGTGGCGAGCTGCGGCGGCGTGCGTGTTGGCCGGGGTGGAAACGCGCTCTGGCTGAGACTCGGAGCGCATGCGTAAAGTTTCAGGAAGATCGGAGCACAGACAGGCCAGTTACACAGCACGTCTCTATTATGGCGTTTTAAGGTGTTGTGGCCACGCCCCCAGGTGGCGTTGGGAGTGAGAGTGGTCATATGGCTGTGATGAGGGTGAGAGTGTGATGCAACATGTGAAGTTTGAGAGCAATTGGAGCATGTATGGGCTATTTACACTTCACTTCCTGTTTAATGGCGAGCCGAGGCGGCGTGCATGGCGTGGCATGCTGGCAACACGCTGTGGCTGAGACTTGGAGCACGCGTGTAAAATTTCAGGCCGACTGGAGCACAGACGCAGCACGTCTGGTATTCTGGTGTTTTATGGCGTTGTGGCCAAATTCAGGGGGGCGCCATTTCCACGCCGTCACACTTGTGCGGACCGTTTTACTGATGTGTAATCACCACCTCCTGTAGTTTGTGCTGGCCAAATTTCAGGTGTGTACGACCTTCCATGTAGGAGGAGATAGATTGTTAAAATGGCCAAAAGTCAGCCAAATGCGCCAAAATTGTCACAGGGGTTATTCAACATAACGGACTTCCTGTTGGGTTTAGGACTTGGTGCTGATTGACTTTTTTGTGCGTCCCGAGCTGCTACACATGCCCAGCGAATGTTGTAGGTGTAGATGAAACGACCTTCCGACGGCACCCCGTTGAATGCCGAAAACACAAAAAAAATGGCCAAAATGGCCATTTCCAAACCGGGCCTCATCTGCGAAGCGTTTTCAATTCAATTCAGTTTTATTTGTATAGCGCATATTTACAACAACAAGTCATCTCATAGCGCTTCACAAAGGCAGAGACAGAAACACCCAACAGTCCAAAACATTTGGATTCCCTATAAGCTTCAGCAGTCTGCAACAGTGGGGATAACTTTTAATCACCACCTCCTGTAGTTAGTGCTGGCCAGATGTCAGGTGTGTACGACGTAGCCCCTAGGAGGAGATTGTCAGGGAATGGGGTTTTTCTGGGCTGTTTGTGTTCTCTGGCAGGTCATCCACCAGAGGGCGCCCTAGGGGATCTCGTGCTGCTCTGGGGCTCATTCCCTGCAGGTGTGTTCTCTACACACCTGCAGCTCGTGAGGCTCGTCACTCCAGGACAAAAGGAGCAGTCACCGATCACTCACTGCCTGAGTGTTAACCATAGTGGAACACATCAAGCCTCCTCAGAGTACTTCTTGTGCTTCTTTCCAGTGCATGCTTGTAACTGACTTTTTCCCTCTCTGAAGTTTTTCTCCTGAGAACCTGCTCCTTGCTGATGCTCATTCGCAACAGCCTGTGCTAACCCGAGGCTATCTCCTCTGCTCTCTGGAAAACTCTTCTCACAACCGGCACGCTTCAGCTATTCACCCCCACTGCACTGACCACTGCACGGCCTGCCCGCCCAGCCGCCCACCAGACCCTCGTCAACGTCCCAGCCGGATTAACCCTCCTCATTACACATTCCCTGTTCTCTGTGAATAAAACCTCTTGTTCAAAACCTTTTCTCCTGAGTGTTCTTCTGCATGTGGGTCAGGAGCATTAAGAAAGCCATGACAGAGATAGATTTTGAAAATGGCCATTTTTGAACAAAAATGGCCTGACATACTCGCCGTTGTTCCAACATGGTGGATTTCCTGTTGGATTTACAGAAACATGCTAATGGACTTTTTTGTGCGTCATGAGTTGTTACATATGTGTGGCGAATGTCGTAGTTGTAGCTAAAACGTATCCTGATGGGACTCTGAAATATTTTAGGGGGTGCAGTTGAGCCGTGTTGCATTTTAGAGCAAAGTCCAAGTTGACTTTTTTGTTTGTGCCGACCAGCTCTATAGGCCGATGAAATTGCGTAGCTCCAGGGCAAACGTGCTTCCGACAGGAGTCTGCTGAAATTTTCAAGGTGGCGCTGTGGAGCCATTTTGGGAGTGACATGTCCACCTGTCTGATAGTTTCTGATTTTCGCCAGTCCTGATGTGTTTGCCAAGTTTAGTGTGTGTGCGAGTACATTAAGGGCCTCAAAAACGCGTTTCTGCCTAACGAAGAATAATAATAATCTCTAGCATCCCTAATTAAATGCCAAATAATAACAAGAAATGGAAAAAATCTGCTTTAACAAGAATTTCTTCTAAAAAATAATTTTCATCATCGTGTCGCCTGACTTAAAAAACAAAACAGCTTCATCAACAAAGCAAAATGTATAGTGTCTAATATGCACAAAAGTCACATGAATTAATATTTTTAGAATAGCCTTGACTCAATATATAATTTCAAACTGTTACCATTTTTTGGCTATTTAAAAATATAATTCAATGTTCTACACCTTTGATGAGCAAATAAAAAAACTATTCAACAGTGTAGTAAATAATGACTTAAACCAGTAGCTGTTTAATTAATCAATTGTTTGATGTTAATTGTCTGTTTTTGGCCCATTTTGGTGCCAAAGCTCCATTCAGGGACGCTGCAGGTGACTGATCAGCCAGACCGGTCGATTCTGCAATCCCCAAATGAAGAGCTCAGATCAGTGCTTTGTGTTATCGTGGGTCTACACTTGTTAATCTCTTGCACATTTATCACACAGGTCGGCTGGGAGGACACACCTTGATAGCACCGGGGGTGTGCCTGAAACACTGAAGGGACTTTGCTTGACCCGAGTTCCTGTATCCTCCACATCCACACGCACACTCGCAATCTGTTGTTTAACACTATGAAGAGTGAAATGTGAGACAAAAATGTGATTGTGAATCCTTTTAGCATGCATAAGAATTAACAGCTTGATAAGGTTTGACAACAGATGAAACATTTAAGTCTAGTTTCTTACAAAATTGCCTGTATTTGACGTGTTCAGCTCCTCAAATGTGCACTTTTGAAAGAGTCAGTTTGTGGTTTTAATAAGCTTAAACAGTTAAAACAGATGTTATTTAAACAATTTACTGCTATTTTACAGGTTTTCCCCATTTTAACTTACTGATAATAACAAGTGAAAGAGACACAACTATATACACGTCTCTGATGATCATTCTGTATGAATACATTTACCTTGTTTTGCTGATAAGACGTCTTAATAATTTACTAATCTGAACTTATAGATACTCCTCAACAAATTACACGCAGAGTAAAACTCGAGAAACAAAACTCTGGCTACTCATTAATATTAAATCTGTGAATATTCATTAGCTCTGCAGCACTTCCCTTTATATTGTGTTGGACATCTTCATCATGCATCACATTTGCTAAACTTTTTTGTAGAGAAAATCCTAATTTGTAATAATTGTAGGTGTGAAAAACATGTCTTTCTCTATAAATGTGAAGTACAAGTCCGGTAAAGTAGCAGAAAATGCCTCTGTGTTGTTCTTGTGTCTAAGCTCTGGTGATGAGCTGTTCGAGGAAGTGAAGTGGACTTTGCTTTTGTTTTATGGCTCTGATACGCCCAGTGATCACTTTGTTTGCTCGGGTCTGAGTCGGCTCTGCTCATCCGACGCTGCCGGTGGGGCGACACACAGAAAGAAAGTGGCACATTGGTTTGCAGCTTTTCTGTTCTCCTGAGAGATGTCAAGGTACCACAAAGCGGCAATTGACGGCTACTTGGACCTCCTGAAGGAGGCCACGAGGAAGGACCTGAACACTGCAGATGAGGATGGCATGACTCCCACCTTACTGGCTGCTTTCCACGGACACATCGATGCTCTTCAGCTCATATGCAGCAGAGAGTAAGCAAGAAAAGCTCCTGTCTATGACCTGTGTTTCATCTCACACCGCTGACCTCGAGACAGAGACAGATTTACTGTAGATATGATAAGAGAGGTAGTCTTCAATGAAAATGATCTTAATGCTTTCACATAAAGAAAACAGTCAAATCTGTACATTTAAATACGTTTCTATTGCTGTGTTCAATGTATGATTCCACGAAACTGCACTGATTTACAGTTTGACCATAAAGTGTTCACAGAGCAAAGGTTAACATGATGGCACAGTGGAGTTTTATGGCTGGAAGAACGAATGTTTTTGATGCGTTTTCATCTGTTTTTTTCTTGCCTCACCCGTTGTTTCCTTCACTATAACGCGCTAAAATGTCTTTGCACTGTTTAACCTGAACTCTCCCATGAGCTGAGCCAAATGTTTAATCGGCCAAATCCCTGCAGTGAAACAAAGGCGCTCTTCATCGGGCTGCCCTCATTCAGAGCAACAAAGGATCTGGCACAGCATTCTCACTGAAAAATGAGATCCGGGGGAGATGCTTGTGAGGTCTTTAGTGGGACATTTCTCCGCTACGTGGCCAGAACTCACTAAAACATTTCCGCTTTCGTCACTGCTGGTTTTTATGAGCAGCAATCAGAACTTTTATTACTGCGACACCGAGGCACAGGAGGACTTTAAATCTTAATAGCTTACCAATTACCTTCAGCCATGTTTACGAATATTTTTTCATATTTGAGATTTTATGTGTCTTTTATCATATGTAAAGGAACAGTGTTGAGAAATGATGCGTCTTATTATCAAGCTCGATCATTTCTATATGAAAGAATGTGTGGCTGCAGCTCAACATGGCATCAGATGAACATGTTTTTACTGATTACTTACATCAAGCACGTCAGGTCAGAGAACATTTACGACATAATATGACAATTTCTACTTTCAGTTATCATCAGCAACGTTTTGCTTGACTTGAGGTGTTTTCACTGTATTTGGGTTTAGTGATGTGGATGTCTTTTTTCTATTCATTGTAGGTTTGTTGTTTTTAAAACCCATAATTAAATGTAGTAAAAAAAAAAATCCTATCATTATATTCACCCTAGGCAAAGTGAAATCTTCTTTAGCTTTGTTAAAAAAAAAAAAAAAAGAAGTAATTATTAGATGGAGAGCACCAAAATAATCGTAATAATACTGAAAGTAATAAAGGTGGAGTCAGCGATTCGAGTCCAACACTGACATTGTTTTCTTGTGTGTTGTTTAGAGGAGATCCCAACAGGAGCGACATCTGGGGAAACACGCCGCTGCACCACGCGGCCGCTAACGGCCACATGCACATCCTCAGCTTTCTGGTCAGCTTTGGAGCAAACCTGTTCGCGCTGGACAATGACTTCCACACGGCTATGGACGTCGCCGCCTCTCGCGACCACATGGACTGTGTGCGCTTTCTCGACGAAGCTACCTCAAAGCAGACCAACCAGAATCCGAAAAAGGTTGCCAACCAAAAGAAGGATGCCGAAACAGAGGCGAAAAAACGGGTGAAGCTCTGTGAGAAGGTGAAGAAGAAACACCAAACCAAGATGGATAAACTGCAGCGCGGAGCAGGCAGCATCAGGTCGACTTCAGAGGGAAGCGTGGCATCATCTTACTCAAACGGTGGCACCATGAGCAGCGTCAACGAGCAGTTCTCCAAGCTTATTGCTGCAGATAAATCTGGCTCTCTTACAGCCCGGGTCAAAGGAACATTCCAGAAGAGGCTTGGGAAGAAGGACAAGAACACACTGCAGAGGTCAGCAGGAGAAGGGAACGTTATCTTCCTCAAACAGGAGGATGGAAAATCGGAGACACCGGAGTTTCTAGGTGTTTTTAATGAGCAAGATGAAGGTATGTCAGACGAAGACAGAATGGAAGAGTATGAAGATGGCTACGGCGATGAAGAGCCGGGCCACGTCAAGCAGTCCATCTTCAACCGCCCCGGCCTCGGAGGTCTGATCTTCATGAATACAATGGGGCTGGAGTCGGACGACATCCCCAGCGGCAACAACGAAAGTCTGGGTTACCTGGTTCAGAACGAGCTGTTTGAGGCTGACGAAGACACCGCTGCCTTCGGGGGGGGCGGAGACACTGACCTGCCCTGGGAACAGGAAGATCTGGGCCTGGATGATGACAACGACGACGAAACGTCTCCTCTGGACGTGTTCCTGTCCACCATCTCCCTGCCAGAGTTCGCCCTGGCCTTCAGCAGAGAGCACCTGGACCTGGAGGCCCTCATGCTCTGCTCTGACGAAGACCTGAAAGGTATTCGCATCCAGCTGGGACCCAGGAAGAAGATCCTGGAAGCTGTAGCTCGCAGAAAGAAAGCCCTGGAGACTCCTGGCATCATCAAGGACAGCATCTTGTAATTGGACAGTTATTTATAATCCTGTATGAAACCTAAAAGTAGTCTGCTCCTCTTGTAAAGAGTCACCGTTTTCCCCCAAAAAACAACTCCTGCATTTTAAAGTGATCCTACTTTGACTTCTTGGATATTAAATAAGATTGTTGAATGCTCTGTTCACAGGTAAAAGCAGCTTCGAACACAACGACACCCTCTATACGGTTAAAAAGAGAAGAAAATAAGAAAGACTAATAAACGTGGCGGTGATCTTTAATCATAATAGGCCTGTAATATATCCAGAAACAGCGCCGGTGATCGTTTCTCTTTATAAATGTGGCTGATTTGGTTGTGCTATCGTGTGTATTTATCACTATTATGACCACTGACGACAAACTCGTCAAATAAATAAAACGCATGTACAAGATAATGTCTCTGGTTTAATATTCTGTCTTCTATGCAGTATTTCCTTAAACAAGGAAAACTCATGCAGATAAAGAAAAAAAATCCCCTATTGGACAACAGAATGAACTGAAAACAAACGCTGTGTAATCCCTATTTAGAGCTACAACGTTAGTGTCCTGTTCTTGGTACAGACAGAAATTTACAACCAAGGATGCAATGAGGAAAATTTACTGAGCATGGAGTAAAAACATCCCTTTTAAAGTAACCCTAAAACTGCATTAATTGATACTAACGATGTACAGTATGTGTGATATGCAAGATGTTCCTGGTGGAACAAAAAAACACTGAGAATCCTCCCCAAATCTGAAATGAAATGCAAATGAAATGAAAAATACTTTATTTATCCCAGAAGGGAAATTCAATCTTGTAAAAGCTCACTTTTTTTTTTTTTTTTTTTTTAATCAACATAACATATATTTTATACAACAATAATAATAATCAGTCAGTCAGTCAATTGTCAGTCAGTCAGATTTGTTTTTTAAGGTGATGGCTGTTGGCAGGAATGACTTTCTGTATCTCTTCTGCAGTTCCTCTTTGATTTTTGGAGCTTTTTTAGGTATTTGACTTCATGTTTTTCTGAGTTTTGGTTCATTCTCATATCAGCCTTGCATCTGACCTCAGTGGGCTTTTGTTTCTAGTGGACAAAAACAAGAACAAACCCATCACCAGTGGTAGAAAGGAGCATTTACTCGAGCATAACAAGTATAATTAACTTCTTTCCAATTATAGTTTAATGAGAAATACTCTAATCTCTGCTGCATTTATCTGCTGTAGTTATGTGTCACATGAAGCTTTTACATAACAAGCTTATAAAAGCTGTAAAATACAACACGTTGTTAAAGATGAGACCAGCGCTTCACAACCTCTTTTATCTTCTGACGTCTTACAAAAGCAGTTTGTGGTCAGGGTCAGCACCAAAGACTGATTTTATCATGCGGTTGTATTTCAATAAATGTTCAAATGATCCAGTATTTCACCAAACATTAAACAAAATAATAATAAAAAAAAGCCCAGAAAAAGATTTTTTTCTCAGATTAACTCTCACATTTATCTGTTGTCCCTGTATATCAAACTACACAAAGCAGTTCATTATCTGGTTCACAAACTGTGTCGTACTGTTAAGTTAATAAGTTAACAATCTTTTAAAATGCAACACATTTGTAATCATTAAACTGGTGGTTTTCAACCTCATAAACAGTGTGGAGTCAAGGCCACGTGTCTACGGAAGCCCTAAGAGGACATGTTTTTTTTTTTGTTTGTTTGTTTTTTTACAGGCTGTTTTCTCAAAATAACGAGATATCTCGTTATTTCGAGATAATATCTCTTATCTCGAGAAAACGATCTTTGTTTTCTCATGATAACGAGATATTCATTCATGATCTCGCGCAGATTTACAGAAGAAGAAGAAGAAGTGGCGGGCGGATGATGTGACCGCAGGTGCCGTGCGGTGTTCAGCGCGGACAAATGCTCAAGGTAAGATGATTATTACAGGAACAAATCACCCCAAATTCATCAATAATCATAACTAGATTATGATGCTGTTGCTCCGGTGCTTTTTGGTACGTGCAGACCAACTGTGTGGCTACTTTGTGCAGGGCTGTCGGTCCACCCTCAAAACGCTGAAGCGGTGGAAATTTCACAAAACTGTGCATGGGATAGATGGTGGAGATGTGTCTCGACTCTGTCACGTAGCCTAGTTTTAACCAGTGGCAGTTTTGTGGCGCAAAGATCCTAGTCTAGGTATAGGGATTAATATTTTCCTGAAAATTACATTTTCTATCCTGGAAACAGAGGCGCTCTATACCGATGTATGTAGGTTCCCAACCAGTGGCGTTTCTAGGTTTTACATTTAGGGGGGGCCAATAGGGGGTCAATGCTATATTTTTGGGGGCACCCAATTACTGCATTATTCATAGATGTAGCTTACAGCAATTTCTCGAGAAGTGTTCTTTACTTGGACTCACATTGTATGGCTAAATATAGACTTAACCTGATTAAATAGATCTAACAAAATAAACATGATGTGGAAAAGGTTTCTGGTCAGAACGTACTGGTACAACATGGGATGTACAATAACTGCTTCTTTCAGCAGCAGCTCATGACCCTCAGACTGATTCACAGACTCATGTTAGTAACAGCCTGATGGCTCACGGTGCATTACCATGACACATACATGTGAATGCACACATGAACAGAATAGAATAGAATAGAATAGAATAGAATGCCTTTATTGTCACTATACACAAGTACAATGAGATTAAGAGCAGCTCCTTCAGTGCTATACATAATAAGTACAAAATAAAGAGCAAAAAATGAAAAACTGCTCTCCTCTTTTATATTAACAACGTTGTTCTTCATTTGCTCTGAGGAACGTCTGTCTGTCCTGCTCTGGTGCTGATGATGGGCTACAGCTGCTGGACTGGTCCTGCTCTGGATGCCTGTCCTCAGAACCGTCCCCCTGAACCGGCCTGGTTCACTGGTCTGACCCTCACATGGCTTCATTTTAACTCTATTCAGGACTTTGGTGGTCTTGTGGACCCCAGGCCATTTGGTTTAGGTGACAGCTATTGTTTTTGATGTTTAAATATGAACAGAGGGACATGTGTCCTGCATTTGGAGCCAAAAATATGTCAACTGATCAGAAGATGTATTTAACATCATATCAAAGTCTATAATGAATACCAACAATTATTTTGCACATATTCTTTCTTGAGGTCCAGTGGACCCCCAAAGACCTTGTATGAATGGAAACATGAAGTCCTGAACAGGGATTAGATAACGAACCATGCTGGCTGCTGCTGGAACACAGACTAAATGACACCATCCAGCTGTAACTGGGAATGTTCTGGCTGCTCCCAGAACATCTCTGTGTAAAGTGTCTTCATCTAACGTCAGCACATTTTCCTTGTTTCAAAAAAAAAAGAAAAAGACAAAAACACACCGTAGCAGGATCTCGTGTCGCACAATCATGAATGCAGGAACCCCGTGATGGTTATTTACCATCTAGTCGACCCGTTTCATCAGCTCCTCTACCAAATAACATCAACTGTTTGTCATCACAATGTTAAATGATGAACTAAAGATAATGGAGTTAAAATAAAACATATCAGGAACTCGTTTGTGTTTAATTTACCGACTATTTGAATTTGACCCTCTGATTGTCCGTCAGTGCGGAGTGGACGTGAGAGGAGAGGTGCGCTTGTTTTATGTTCCAGCCGCTCCCGACACTAACACCATCACAATACTCTGTTCACCCCGCCCCCATGAAGCTGCGCTGTAACAAGCAGCTAGCGCTCCTCTAAGAAACTACCCAATGTTAAGACAGTATTTCACCGGGGGGAGGGGCGAGAGGGGGCCAATCAGATTCCAGCAGGGGCCATGGCCCCTGTGGCCCCTCCCCTACCTTCGCGTATGAAAAGAGGAGCACGTCGTGCCGGCTTGCTAACTCGGCTAAAAGCTAACACACCTCCGATCCGTCGCTCCTGCTGGCTGATGTCCGCTCTGTGGACAACAAAACGGACCTACTAGTCTGAGGCTCGGGGTTTCTGGGCAGACGAAGAGCTGCTGTGCTGCACTGTGTCTACCGGGGAAAGCGGTCAAATGACAAGACGCCGGACCGGGCCGGACTGGGCCGGCCACATCCACGGCTTGTTGACAAATGACACCACCCCCCGACAGCAAACACAATCATAGCTGAAAAGGATGAGACGCAGGGAAAGCTCCGTGTGCGTCTGGAGCTGCTGTTTCTCCACTGCAGGAGATTTTTTTGTTATTGCTTAATGGATTAATTAATTAAAAAAATTAAACTAAATTTAAAAAGAAAATAAAGGAATGAAAAAAAGGCCAAACAAAAGAAAAAAATAAAATTTAACAGTCGGTCTACCAGAATCCTGCAACTACTAGAATGACCATAGCAGTCATTTTGGATTATCATTCAAAATAAATCTAAGAATAAATTGGTGGAATAGATAACGTAAGGTATCCTCCCCTTCCCATCAGGTGACGTACTACTTCCTGTTTGTCTCTGTAGCTCACTGCTCGTGCTGGTTCTGTTCACCGCTCCTCTTTC